ACTGAGGACTATGTGATTTTCCCCATGCCAAATGAGTGAAGAGACTTTGTCAAGGCTGTCTGATTCATTAATTCCTAATCTGTTAGCTATAGCTGGCATTGTTTTGGTATTAGAGAGTCATTGTGGTCTGGTTGTTATGAATTTGAATGCCTCAGAGGGGAAAAACACTAAAAAATCAAAACTTTATGGTGGTTGAATAAGGCTTCTTAAGTAATAGTGAGACATTGCAAAATATGAAATACACATTTCTAATTTGTTATGGTAATATAGGGGTTTTAGATTTATTTTTGTTACATTAAAGAACAGGCTAATTGTTTAAAAGATTATATGTTATAATGTGGTGGATGTTATGATGGAGTTGTTCCTGGGGAGGTAACCGGTAGTAGTTAGTTCACGACTCATCCAAGTGACTTTCTAACCTCTAGAGCACAAATAGAGCCATTGGAGAAACAATCTTTAAGGAAAATAAATATTTGCAATGCATATAATCGATTTAGTAAGCTTTTAAAATCAAATGAAAATCAGCCACACTATGGTTAGGTTATTTGTATAATAGACTCTTGTTCTAAGCTCCCACAGTTTGTATAGGATAAGTAAATCTCCAAAGCTGTTTATAGTATAATTAGACCTTTTCTGTAGTACAGTACCTATTTTGTTTCAGAAATGCAAAGGATTGTCGGCAATAAAACCCACTGAACATTGAAATAAACACTTTGCTTAGGAAATGTTAGGGTACAGATTATTATTAATTTTAAAAGCGAATGAAATGTAAATTATGGGCAAAGATTACAAAGTACTCTGTTGATCTGATTTAGAATGTTAAAGATATCCGTGGATTTGAAAAAAATTCTTACACTGTGTTCAAGGCTAGAGAATAAAATGATTTAAAAATATTTTGTAATTCTCTGGTTACCTTAATTACTGTCACTATAGCAATTAGTTACTAGATCCCAGTTTAAATATCAGCATCTGGCCACATTTACCATTGTGTATGTGTTTGTGTGATTGTAGCTTATAAGTTCATCCATGGCCAGGAACTGATGTAAATGATTCTGTTTCATATATAAAAACTTTTCCCTATGCACACAGGTTGAAGTGTATGTATATCCAAAACTGTTTTTTTTTTGTTTTTCTTAAAGTTTTGTATAGAGTAGTGGAGGTTAAGAACCCTGTAAAGTTTACATTGCTGTCCGAGATAGATTCATCCTCTCTATTTGTCCTGTTAATCATTGTTACTGTGACAAAGTATTGAGAAATGTTATAGTTGTCACCAGAACAAAAGGTGAAGGTACATTTTTCAAATGAGGATACCATTTCCAGTGACAACTGTCTGAGGGGGACTTAACTAACTTTTTAGAGCTTTCCTGGTGCGTTTGCATGGCAGAAGGAGAAGGGAAATCTCTCATGATTGCACATGTTTGTGCCATGTGTTCAGTGTGTCGCCCATTTATTTTAATGGGTGCCGCATTCATGACAAACATGGCATAGTAGCTCATGCAGCAAATTCTGCTGCAAGCGTGTTTTTTGACCACGCGTTTGTGTACATTTAACATGCGGCTGGCAAAACTTGCATTTTTGCCTTAGGGGTGCCATTTACAAGTAATGGCATCGCAAGCAAGTCGCTCATTTTTATTGTGTTGTGTGGACATGCGGCAGTGCGCGCAATTGGCGCACAGTCACGCAACACAAAGGTGCGAACGGGGACTCAAGGTGATGTAAAAAAATAAAATCGAAAAATGGATCTGGCAGAGATTTTAATCATTCTCTACTGTATCCAAAACTATAAAAAAATGTTTTGCCTAAGGCCGGGGTCTTAAAGAACCAGCCTGCGAACTGGTACCATGCGGATCGCCGCTGGCTGACAGGTCAGGCATGCAGTTACGGAACATTAACCTGACTTGGGGGAGCACCTACACGGTCTGCATCTCTGTTGGATGCAGACCACATAGCTGCTCCTGGCGGTGCCGGCACTCATTGCGAGTCAGAGCTGCATGCGCTCTGACTGCCTTCATTGAGCGCTGGCCGAAAGGAAGGATTAGTAAGGTCTGCACCAGCCAAAGGTGCAGACGGTACTAATTAACCACTGAACCACCAGGGAATGACCCCCCCCCCCTGCAAAAAATGTAAGCAGATGAGGGGGCTCTTTTATTTTAAGAAGGTGCGAGTGTGTGTTTGTATATCTGTGGGTGTGTGTGCATATAGTGTGTGCGTATATTGTGTGCGTATTGCTCTGTGTATGTATTTCTCTGCGTGTGTTTTTTAATCTGTGTTTAAAATTAAAACGTGAGAAAAAAACACACATACTGACACTGCACACATGTATACATACTGATATGACACACACAGAAACATTCACACATATCAACATCACTCACAGAAATCCTGACAATACACACACGCAAGCCATCACAAAAAAATATACGAACATTGCATACAAATAAACCATCTCAAACACACATACTGACATTATAAACGCACACAGACATTAACACTGGTACCGTATATAGTTGCATTTTGTTTTGAAGTATGACATTTGGCAAGCAGCACCCATAGGAGAAGAAAATTTGTCTGGTGGCCCCCAAGTGAATTGAGTTTGAGACCCCTGGCCTAAGGGCTTTTCATTTTCATTGGTAGTGCTGGTATATATATAAACCCTTAGAATGAGCTTATTTGTCCCATTTTGGTCCACTAAATGTACCATTGAAAGTGTTTCATGCAATAAAACATTTTTTTTTTTAAAACAGTTAAACCTGCCAGGAATTCAGTGCCGTTCTGTGGACTTTGTAGACTTATCTCAAACATTAAAAGTTGTCCTGTAGTGTAGTACTGTCCTAGGGTGACAACCCAGTTTCTCCATATACAGTACGGTGAGTGAGTGCTGTCATCGTAGTACTGGTAGAGTGTTACTGGCTGCATCAACCGGTGAAATTAAAGGGAAAAAAAAAAGATAAAGCAGCCGCATCTAAGGATTAGAAACCTGCAATATTTTGGGTTTAGATATAATTTACATATGATCTTGTGAGTCCACAACTGTTTAAATGGAGCTGGAAAGCCCTAGGCTTTTTAAACAAAGGGGTTTATTGCAGGGACATGCACTGTTTTAAAGCTTACAAATGCATTAAAAAAAGTATCAATGTAAATAAGACGGATTCCTTTTTAGCCAAAAAATTCATGTTGATGTGTGTTCCCAATATGTTAGCACTTCATGTTCGACTAAGGGAAGGCTGTTCTCTTTGTAGAGTACTCTATGCTTCAATGAGAAAGCTGTTTGATGTAGACGCATCTAAGAAAAACATGGTCCTAAAATGCCCATTAGCACTTAATGATTTGATGTCACTATTAGTCTGACCCTTGTTGGGCATTTATGTTTAGCTAGAGATTTCTATAGACATTCACACGCAGGCTTTCATTTTTCACAGGCACGTAAACATTAAAAGGAGCTGTTGAACTTCCTCAGTGCCATGAACAAAACCCAAACAATTTTTGCTAAGTTTCTTTTGAGACATCTGTTAGGCCCCTTTCATACTGTCCGATCAGGAGGAAACCATGCAGGGATTCTCTGCTGATCAGAACAGATTTCACCGTTGTGAGGTCAATGTACGTCCAGTTTTTTCCTCCTCGAGATGGAGGAAAAAGCTGAAATTACCAGACCATGTTGGTCTATGGAGAATTGGATGTACTTTAAATTGTTTCAGATTACCCCCAACTTGCACGGTCAGGTGAACGCTGATCAGTTTGTTTTTCCAGAGCTGGGGATAACTGGATGTAAACTGACGCCCATCCATTTAGACCTGGTTGCCGTAGACTAACATTGGGTTTCCGATCAGGTGGCCTGAAAAACTGACAGGCGGACCTGATCAGGAAGCCTGTGTGAAAGGGCACTTATTGTGATTACATTATCCTGGCCCTTTACAAAACTGCTGCAGTTTACAGCTACTTGAAAGAGTATCAAGCATCAGATTTTTTTTTTTTAAATGTATGGTCAGTGCATGCATGCTAATGCATTAGTGCAAAACATACCTCTCGCAGAGATTTCAGTACTTCCCCTGACCATGCCTGAATCTGCTTTTCCCTGCAGGATAGAGGAGCCACATTCGTTCAGCTATCATCCGGAATCGGCATCTATTCTTTTTAGATGCTGGAAAATGACAGTCATGTAAATTCTAGTGTTCACAAATGTCTAACACAAACCATCACCTGCTGCAGCCTGTCACCATGTGTATGTCTTCAAAGTTACCATGTTGCAGTCTGATCAATGTGGAGAGAAAATGCTACCTGCAGCAGATTGACGATATCAGAACAGCCAATCATAGTCAATGATTGGAGCGTAAGGAAAAGCCTTTTAATGATAAAAGGTGGAGATTTGTTTTTACATAATACTGTTGCTAAATATAGATGCATGTCAGGAATGTAATTATGCAGACTTAAAAAGTTACTGAAAAGTCTACTTTCACTGGCTGCATAGCATAACTCTAGTGCAGTTTAGGGAGAAATCCAGGCAGTTTAAAAACTACCCCCGCACTGCAAGGGTCAACTGCTCGTTTTGGTCTAGGGGCTAAACTAAAGAAAATATACTTACCTGATCCATGGTCCTGATTGGCTGGTAGACTGGTCTCCACAGTTTCTTCTCCCCTGGGCTTCCACAATCTAAGGACTCGTGACATCATCATGAATAATGCAGCTGCATTAGACCTGAGGACGCCAAAGGGCATTCCACCACCACAGCGAGGGGGAAAGAAGTGAGTGATCACTGCTGTTGGACCGAGGATTATGTGGGTGTCCATGCGTCTGCTAGTCAGACATAAAATTAAGTTTAAAAAATAAATTCTCATTAAAAAAAATGAGGACCCAAGTGTATGATTTCTCCTTGGCATATCATAATTGAACAGGTTTAAATCATGAATAAAATTATATTCCCAGTGATACAGTAGGCCAGGCACAGATGTGACATTTTAGGGTGTCCACTTCCAAACTGTACATTAGCTGCTCTGTGCAAAAATATAAGCATTAGTGATACGATTCGTTAATTTTAGTGAATTCAACAGCCCCTCATTTTAAAACCATACCCAGTGGACCATGATTCTTCCACAGTTTTAGTATGTCTGTAATTAATAGACACATATGAAGTACAGTTTCAGTCACAAGACAGATTGGCAGTGTCTGCCCCACAATGACAGCCTCAGGGCAACCACGGAGAAGCTTGAGAGCCCTTGTACACACTTGGCTTGTACGATAAAACCTAGAACGGGTAAAGTAATCAAATTGTACTTTTCAGAAGTCAGGTCAACCCTTTCTTACTCCTTTGCTTTTGAAATAAGGCTTCATGTGTAATAAGCTGAAAACATAAACTTTAGGTATTTTAAAATCTGGAGCAAAAATTTTAGTTGTGGTCATCGCACTAAGAATATTCCATTATTCATTTTATTCATTAATCCTGTGTAGGTGTTAAAAATCTGATTGTTTGCTAGGGCTCACTTTCAGAAAATTGCATCAACATGCAAAAATATATCAAATGTAGCTCCATGAGATGTGTTTTAGCCCCTTTCCTTACTGCCATCTGCCAGCTTATGACAAATTTTGTAGATATGGATGGGAAAGAGCCATGTTATCTGGAACAGAAGTGTGTGTGTTTGTTAGTATGTATGTATGGCACCCTCTTTATGTAAGGGTCAGTTTCTGTAAATACATTTTCTGCTTGTGTTCTGTTCAATGTTACTTAGACACAGTAGTTCTACTGTGTTTAATATTTGTCACTCTACACTATTTTGCAGTGGAGCAAAATATAGTGAGGTTTCATTGTCTTCTTTCTCCAAACATTTGTTTGGTGGAAATTGATAGCTTGATAGTGCCGTAAAATAGGCTGGAATAAAGCAGTCATCAGCCATAGACCTGCTTGCTAGCTCTATAGCTCAGGACACAGAGAAAACCGAATGCATACAGATTGAAATAAACACACTTTAGGATAAATGAATGCATGCATTAGCTTGCACAGGCATAATGTTTTTATTTTGCATTATTGTATCTGCTGTGGGGGTCTGAAAAATATGATATACTGTATATGAAGTTATTTGCTAGGCTTTGTGTTCTTGTAAAGAAATCTTGAGGTAATAATTTCACATGAATGATCTTAATAATTGTACATGAATGATTTGTATTTAATTGTTTTGCAGAGAGGATATAATGAAATCAGGGAAGTCAAGCAGTTCCACTTCACCGGTTGGCCTGATCATGGAGTACCGTATCATGCCACTGGCCTGCTGTCCTTTATTCGGCGTGTAAAGTTGTCTAATCCACCAAGTGCTGGTCCCATTGTGGTTCACTGCAGGTTTGTGTGACTAGTATAAAATCATTAATTTTTAAATATAATTTCTAGGATGAACATTGTTAGCAAAATAATTGTTCCTAAAATAGGAGTATCAGTGGGTAGATCACAATGTGCTAGTGTCTGTTAAGACCACTTAAACACACTTTGTTATTTTTTTGGACAGCCCTAAAAGTGCCAAAGTTGCCCATAGCAATCAAACACTAGCATTTTGCTACTGCAGGTTAAAACTGAATATTGCTCTTTGTTACCGTGTACAATGCAGACACTCTTAACTGCCTCCGGGCCGGCCGTAGTAAAAAAACGGCCGGCCAGGAGCTCTCTAGATCTGAGCGGGCGTCTTTAGACGTCCGCTCAGACACGCCCCCTTGCGCGCGCCCGGGAAATGGCCACAATTTAAAAACGGGCAGCGATGCCCGTTAATATACATGCGATCCGCCGGCTGTAAAGCCGGCGGATCGCTTGTATTTAGCGACGATCGGTGCGGCCCCCTCCCTCTGCTGCCCCCCCCGCCATTGTCCCGCTGATCCCAGGCTCCGCTGTGCCCGGTGCGAGCCCGGGATTAGCATGTCGCCTGTGTCACAGGGGATCAGAG